GAGCTTATGAATATGGGGATGGGGAATGCCTTAACAGGTGTGCTGCAGCATTGTTTTTAATAAATAAGTGTTCCTTGGGTTGGAAATGGTTGGGAAACACTGATATAGAGGACTGAAAGTGTGGGCAGGATTAGGGTAGCCCTAGGGGATGCCATGGCCACCCCAGGGCCTGTCCCATTACTGTGTTCTTTTGCAAGTAATAACCACATGAAGTGTACAGTTGTATAGTTCAACTTCTTTTTTTTAGTTTGTGTGTAAACTAGTCTTTAAGAACATTTCTAAAATATGATTGTCTTCATGAGCACTTGACTTAAATGGGGATAAAATGGGTTAGCAAATTCACTCAGACTTCCAAAAATAAAACTTCCCTTCATACACATGTGGAAATGTTCAGCCTCTGATTAGCATTTTAAAGAGAGTTATAAATAAGTAAAAATAAAATTATGGGGAACATCAAGTTACAACTTTAGCATTTAGTTAACACTGTTGTGTTTCTTTAAGGAGTTAGTTACCATTACTACTCCATCAGTTTGGAATCTTGCAAGGGCATCATTTTTATTTCTTCTCCTTCTAGACTCCTGAACATTTAAAAATAAAATCAGAAAGGGTAAAAGGATTAATCTACTTACCAATATTGGAAATCTCATTGAAGCAGTTGCTGATTCGCAGTTGCTGATTCACAGTTGCTGCCCACCTTGCAAAGAGGGCTGGATTTTGCCAAAGGTTCAAGATCTTCGGTGTGAGCCAGAGAAGTTATCAACTATATGGTCAACATAAGACAAAATTGTTTATGAATCGTGTCCTGAGCCTTTGTTTTAGCAATAAATGAATAATTTTAAAAAAATCTGGAAATCAGAAACGTGCAACCTGGATCTAATCTGAAGATATAAACAGATAAAAACTATTGCTTCCTAAACAGTAATGTCTTGGTTCTGTTGGTGGGGTTAGGTTTTGAGCCTGTGGTGATAGAGAATGTATTAGAAAATGATGAGCTGCGCACAGACCTCCAGGGTGTGGAAGCTAAAATCCAGGAGCTTGGGGCTGAAAATGTCCTTTGTGTTCATTCTACAACTTCCTGCTTTGCCCCAAGGGTACCTGACAGGTACGTAATTCTCTTATGTTGTCCAAGGTGTTATTAACTTGCATAATCAGATTAATTCCTAAAATTGCTTTAGTTACTGCTAATAGTTAATGGAGCAAAATAGTCATCACAATGAAAGCTTCCTTCTTAAATTTCAGAGGATGGGGAAAAGATAGATAGTAACAGTCTTCCATGGATGTCACATTTTTTTAATTACAGTCTGATGTCACATTTTCTTAATTACAGTTGTCTCCTTTAGTTCTCTGATAAATTTTTCTAATGTGAGGCCTTAGTAGTCTTAGTCTGTGCAACATAAGAATTCAAAAAGCATTAAGTTCAAGGTTTTTAAGAAATTCTTCTATACTGAGGTAGGGTTGAAATGGTATTGTAGCTGTGAAGGTCCAGGAAGTATGTGAGGCAAAGATTTTTGTGGGATCTTTGATTGGACCAACTGTGTGGTTGGGAGAGAAGTTGGTCCAATCAAAGATACCACCCACAAAAATTCTTGCCTCTGCTTTCTAACATGATCTTTTTCTTTTACTTCATTTGTTTTTAACAGCAAATTAAACAAAACAGTTAATCTGCTAATGTAACTACAGTGCAACAAGTCTCCAGTGTAACTACTGCCCTGGTATAAAACATGACTTGTATTGGTGTAGCTTCCCTTGGTTTGAGTACTTGATGGGTAGTCACATGCTGCTGGTTCTTGAGATGAGCTGTTAAATCACATTAAAAGAGGCTTCAAATGCACTGCATTCTTTCCTGCTATTACATTTCTATGTAAGCAACTGGACTGTTGTTCAGTCTTCAGCTGAAAGAAAAATGAGAAATGAGCTGGTCTTTTGGCACTGTAATAAAATGTAGTCCACATTATAAAAATATTTAAGATCCCCTCTTCTGGAAGCAAGAATTGAGGCTACCAGTGGCTAAAAGTGCTTGATTTGTTGTGTCAGATCTTCAAGATGAGTATATTTAAAGTTGTCCCCATAGCCTACTTCTCTGAATGAAATCAGGTGTTTTTGCAAGTGTATGTCTTTTTTAAACAGCAAGCTTTTAATAAGGTTTTGTTTAGATTTTGAAATAATAGTTCTATAACTCCAATTTAAGAGTCACTGTACAATCATACAAAGATTGAGCACTCTTACCAGTTAAACTTTTTATTGCATATTTTATATATCATTTTTGTTATTAATTACTTTCATACTTGAAATAGTTAACTGAATGTTTTAAAATCCAGAAAAGAAACATGATCTCCTAAAAGTTAAAAAATCTAAAGAGACTAGTGAGGAATATTTTTCACTGTTATCTTGCATTAGTCTCTGCTGTCCTAAAAATTATCTAAAAGAATTGTTGATTTACTGGCTTAAAATACACTTATATCTGTTGGTAGAAGGAAAGTAAAAAACAGGACCAATAATTCTTTTGGACTGCTATGACATTGCTTGAAGCTGAATTTATTGGCTAGCCTGAATCAAAAATATCAGAATGAAAATAGTCTGTTTTAGAGCCAGTTCAAATGTATCTTTGATTCATCTGCCGCCTTCTGTTCCTTTTTTTTTTACATAGTGGTTATCAATCCTTTGTGCATATGAACTTAAATATTAGATATTGTAGTAGGGCATATCACAGATACAAGGCTATTTGAAAAAAACTTTTTATTAAATGGATATAGTCAACTATTGAAGGCTGTAACATTCATGATCTTAAAAGGAAAATAAATTCTATACAGTATCCCTGAAGGATACCTATTTATATCCCTATTTGTAAACATCTTACATTTGCTTTAATGCCCTGGTTAGTTATGGTCTGAAGGACATTTTTTTAAATTTAGAAATGTACGTGCCATTTGAGATTTAAGCTTTATTTTTAAAAGGTATTTTGTAAAAGGATAAATACTTTGCATGCTCCTATAAATATTATTATACCAGTTGCTGTTATGAGTAACCCCCAACATGGCTAGAGGTGAGAGAGGTTTAGAGAAAATCTTCCATTTTTAATTTTGTGAACTTACTAGCTCTTTGTGCATAGTCATTTCTACTGTTTCTCCTGAATATTTACTGAAGTTTCCCCCTTTTTTTGTGAAGGGCGTTGACAGATCAACAGGGAAAGGAACATATTTTTAAAGATGGAAGTTGTTATAAAACCACAAAAGGACATAAGGGGCCAGGGTCTGATGTAGCATGTGAGCTTCCCTACGACTTTCTTTTGTTTTAAACTGACTATCTGTTCTTATTGTGGTAACATTTTTTTTACATGGAGTTAAATACCAACCAGATTTATTTTTCTGTTTTTTAGCTTAGCCTGGGTCTGTTTCTTTCTCAGACCTGAAGCATGGCACACCAAGCACATTCACACACAATTGAATGCAGTAAGCCTTCTCTGGGAGCATATCTACACGTGCTTTGTGTTGGGAGCAACCTGGTACAGGGCTACTCTTACCCTGCTCTGGCCCCCTGCAGTAGCCAGGGGAGCTCCAGGCTTCCCTGGGGTGCCAGCTTGGGGGCTAGCAGGGAGCACAGGGCTGGTCCCCAAGCATACAGTTCCTTTTTTTCCTTTTTTCTTTAGAAATTGTCAATTTTTTTTCCCCAACCTGTTACACATCAATTATTTCTAGACACAATCTTACAGACATTGTCCTAATTTTACATTTGATCTTTTTTGTAAGAAAAACAATGCGTCTATCTTGCACATTTCCAGAAGCTTCTTCTTTCTAGAGCTCAGAAGGGCAAAATGAGCATTGTCTGTCATATCTGTCCTAAACTTCAACTTAGCAGATTCTCCTCTTCTTGCACACCAAAGGAGTCCACAGGACAAGAGCCTGTTTTCCTCAGGACTTCTACAGAAGTTGAAGAGCAAGCCTGACCAGTATGTTTGGTGTAGCATATCAGAATATCAATATTACAATAACATCTTTTACTTTGGTCCACAAAATACATTTATAAACAAAGTGATGTTTCCTGAAAGGTTTCATATGTCTTGTGGGTCAGAGTTAAGGGTATGTATTGTTGGAATGTGTGAAAATAGTTCTTTAACAGAATCTCCCAACTGTGTAGAAGTACAAGAACATCTGTGTAAATTACTTTACACTTTCAAAGATGATATTTTTAATTAATTTAAGAAAAATATGTAGGTTGGTGGAAATCAAGGGATTTTAGAAGAATAGAAGCATAGCAGGATAGTTGTTGTCAAGAACACACTAAGAATATTGTTGCAGTCAAAAATGGGATTCAAACCTAATGCAGTTAAGGATTGACACAACACCTTGTTCAATTAATGACAGAAAGGCTTTAATAACTATACCACAAATGAGCTGTAAAACTAAATGACAGAAAAAGACTCCTTCCCAATATTCAATAAATGAGCTATCACGGAAGTTCTAGTATATGCTTGCTGTAAGAGTGTCTCTCACGAATGCAGGCAGGAAGTGGTTTCAGTCTTTGCAGCCTTCATTGGGTGTGGATCTGTCCTGGAGAGTGATCAGCTATTGCAGTGATCTCTCTACCTCTCCAGGAATGCAATTTTTGCTAGCAACTCTGTTTTGTTCTTATACTGTTCAATTGTATAGCTTCTCAAAGCATTCCTTCTTGATAATTGGTCAACTGAAGTCCAAACAAAGCAGCTAGAGAGGGACCATCATATTACAATTGCTGTTTGGATCCTATTTTGGGTCGCCCAGTTGTGAAACTTGTTTGTGCAAGCTTTTGATCAGTCCAGAGGTTGCACTTCAGTCAACTAGGATGGCTGTTGATTGACTGAATGGGATACCTTGGGGCATTGATACTATTTTGGGTAGTTGTTTTAACAGTGGGGCAGAACCCAAAATAGTCTGAACTGGTTATGGTCTATGGAGACATTTGCAAAACCCCAAACAAACATTGAAAGCCTGTTCTGAGAAGTATGCCTTAATCAAGGGGGGATGTGTCAACAAGGGGGATATAGGCACATAGGGATATGCAGTTATTTAGGAATGGTTTAGCATAATAAAACATTGGGTACATTTGCACAGGAAATTAAATCAATTGGGATTGCTTCATTTCACATGGTCCCACTCACAGTCTTGCATTTTTGTGAAAGATGCACTGTTATTATAATTTAGTAATTTAAATTGCACGTGTAGCTCTGGCCAACCTTTCACAGTCATCAGTATGGAAGTTAACGAATACTTGCAATAACTTCTTCAGAACAGACCACTGTACCTATACAAATCCTCATAGGTTCCAGACCGCCTTAACTGGGGCCTGGGAATCCATCCAGGTAGAGCCTGGAGATAGCACTGGGGCTGGTGTGGCTATCTTTATTTGCCTGAAATCAATTCTAACGAGGTATTTTGAAGTAGTTGGCTACTCATAGGGCATAGGTAAAAGTATGGGAGCAAAGATTTTGGCCAGTGACTTAAAATTCTGGTTTCTTGACAAAGGGAAGGCTAAGAAGAATACAGGGTTCAATTAAACATAATGGGTAAAAAACTGCTAGTTACTAGTAAAGTAGAAGTGTCAGAGAATACTTAAGGAAGACTTGGGCAAGTACTAAGTGGTCAACAATATAAGCACTGTCTTAACTAAGACCAAATTCATATAACTTTAAAAATCACATGGAATCAAATATATTCCAATTAGCATTGTATTTTCCCCCTGCAAGCCCAATTCAGGCAGACATCCCTATTGAGGCAAGCAGTTCAATTGGTCACTAAATGCATGCTTTTTTTAATTGACTTTAAACATCACCCTCTGATCCCATGGTTGCAACTTTGACTTACATTTAACTCGTCTCAATATGCATTTATTTATGTGCATCTCTGAGTTTTTGACAATTTGTTTCAAAACTGTATAAAGCATTCATCAGGTTCCAAAACATGCATTCTTAATTTACGTTTGCATATAGACCAATTCCCACTCCCACATGGGTGTAATCATCCATGACCTCCAGGGATTGCTGCCACAGCCAATAAGCCAATTATAAATTAAAATTTGTTGATGCACAAAGAACCAAAAAATATTTGATTCATTGCCTAGTTCATTTCCCATGGTGATACCAGATGGATATTGTAGGTTTTCCTACAATGTAAGTTCAGTATGAGCATCAATACTGCATGATCCTCCTCATAGTTCTGGCGTAGCACCTCACCTTTCTTCTTGATGGATCACTTCTGACATTAAGAATATATTAATTTCATGCTAATCAAGTCCTTGGCTGCTGCTTAGAATACAAGGTGCCACTTGATGTCAAGAGTGTTGTTGGGTTCTGAGATAAGGTTGGCAGGATTTGTACTGCGACTTCCAGTATCTTAGACTTAAGGTACGAAATCATCAGTAAATGATGATAACTGCTCAGGTGACTTGGCTTGAACAGACAACTTGAAGGTGAAAGGCTTCTTATCCTGTGCTATTTCTAGTTTTGAGGCATTTAATCCCCTAACCAGCTTTGAAATTTCAGCCAATTCACGTTTGGGCTGAGTGTAAAAAGGCCATTTTATGATTATTTTAAAAAAAATCATTGAGCCCAGATGAAATGGGGAGAGTTCATTTCGGCTATTTGCCAAATGTTCTTCTCGACTGAAGTCAATCATGAAAAATTTTGGCTCAGCCCAAGAGGTATAAACAAAGAAAATATAGCTGTACAATTGAGTTAAACAGTGGGGTCACAGCTACAACCCTAGTATCATAGCTGAAAAAGTTTTCCCTTCCCTGCTTGCCCTCATTTTGAATCTTTTGTAAAAAGTAGTTTTTAATGACCTGACATAACTTTACTGTGCTCATAAGTGTTTCTTTAAATTACAATTTTATGTTTGTAGACTGGAAGAACTTGCTGTGATTTGTGCTAATTATGACATTCCCCATATTGTCAACAATGCATATGGAGTTCAGTCTTCAAAATGTATGCATCTCATCCAGCAGGTACAAAGCATGTATTTCAAACTAAGCATGTTGTGGAATTTTTTTGAAGATGTATTTATATTAATGTCTGATTGCGGTTACACAGAAACACAAAATGTACAATGCTTGGAACTTTTGTCTGATGTCTTCATAGATCTGTGGCTAATCCCATGCAATTACTGCTATCTCACCTGGTTCAAAACCAAGTATGCTTTGAGTCAGCTTCTTTCTCCTACTGACTCAGTCAGCCAGACTGAACACCCTTGGCCCTGTTCAGAACAGGGCTCCAGCCATCTTTCCACAAGGAAAAACTCATTTTAGTCTAAAAAGAAGTGTGATATGGGCTCCCCCACTTCTAGATCTCGATGGTTATTGAGCATCAAGCAGCATTCCCCAAGTCCTGTGAGCAAATAGGGCAAAATCAGAAATGTACACAGTAATATTAAAAGAACAGGAAGAAAAAAATTCCCACAAATCATCTGAAATTTTATATTAAATATATAAAAACTTGCAACATATCTTAAGCGGTGCAAAAATTATTAGATTATTAGTAAAACACATGGTAGTTCACCACGGGGCAAATTAAGGTGAACAGAGGAACGTTGGAAGAAGAAAAGCGAGGAAGAAAAACTTAGTCTCTTGCTGTTCCTTTCTTTAGACTACTAAGTAACATGTGGCCCATTTACCTATTTCTAACCCTTTTTCTGTGTAAAATTATTTGTAATTCAGTTATATATTGCAGATCTAACAGCATTTTCTGTTTTACCAATTCTAATGTTTTCTCATTGTGTCAGTATTTTTCTCATGGAAAGCGTATTGGAAAAACGTTATTTATAAATGTTTCCTTTTCAAAATAGGAAAATAATATAAAATAACACATACATATTGAGTGGATCTAATATCTAAAACCAATTTTGCCTTTTTTATTTTTAGGTTGCTGGCTTCTTGTTACTAAAATAATTAAATTCTATTTTCTTTTTACTTAGCATGTTTTAAAAACATGTTTTAATGGAAACGTTCAATAAAACACTCAGGATGTGAGGGTTAAAAAATACATACTATTTTATAACTTACTTGGTGTATTTATTTTTCACACCTGTGAAGGTTTTGTGAAATATAATTGTTCATAAAGTATTTTGTTCGGTACATAGAAGGGGATTTTGCAATAGATCAGGGGTGGGCAAAATGTGGCCCACGGGCTGCATGCGGCCTGCCAGGCCATTTTATGCAGCCTGCGTGGCCCCTAAAAAATTTAGAAAATGAATATTTATCTGCCCCTTGTTGCCTGTCATGCGGCCCTCGATGGCTTGCCAAAACTCAGTAAACAGCCTTCTGCCCAAAATAATTGCCCACCCCCGCAATAGATGAATATCATCTTACAGTTAATTAACATTTCTAGAGACCAAACTCCTTATGATAAAAATTTTAAGAACAGTTTAATTTCCTACCTTCCTACTAATGGAAAAAAATAATTTATAACATTGTTACTATAAAACACAGAATAGCACAATTACATATATCCATTCAGTTGTTTCTGACTTGTTCCTAGATGCTTTCTATCATATAAAAAATGTTTTAGTGAAGTGATTATTTTAAGTGTTGTCAACAAAAAAAAATTTTTTTTCAATAGAAATTGCAATACCTAGGAAAAAATTACTATTAAGGTATATTTGGGATCATATGAGTTCCATAGTAACAGCAGCAGCATTTTCAAGTGTCATGGAGAACAAAGGATACAGTTACTCCATTTCCCCGAGTGTCAAAATGGGACAACCTCCAGCAACCCCCAGCAGTCTGCTCCCTAAGCACCCCTGCTTTCTGGCATACTCAACTGCCTCCAAACTTCACTTTCAGCTGACTGAGTTATACATCTATATCTCAGCAAAAATGGGTTATATGGTCATCCTAACAATGGTAGAAATAGTTTAGAGATTCTCAATTGCCATCATCCTGAAGTTACTGGGATATTAAGACGCTGCACTTCATGGAGAGGTGATGGATATACCATATATATGGTGGGGAGATATGCTTAGATTTCCTGGTGCAAAATATTCAGCTGTAATAGAGCCTAAATAGTGCTTGGATACTATGAGGACTACAGAAATAAATACCTGGATGGATGGAACAAAAACCTAATCAGAGGGTTAGTAGAAGGAAAAACTCTGATTGTGAAGGGGAAGAAAAAGGTCTGTTTTTTTCATTGTGCTCTCAACTACTACATTTTTCTCTTGTTATCAACTAAATCCATCTGATAAACTTCTGATATTCATCTCCCCACCAAAATGCCACCACCCCCACCCCAAAATAGTTGTTAAAATGTATATTCAGTCATTCTGTTTTGTTTATTTTTCTTATAGATACTAGCATCATTTATATTGCTTCAATATTTTCTACCGTTTTCATGTTGCAGCTAGCTTAGTTAATTTAAAAATTCTCATGGGTTGTTCTTCATATATCAGGTTTTCCTAAAGTTTACATATTGTGTGCTAGGTATGATGTCATTTTCTTTCCTAGGGTAGGAGAAGACTTCAGCCCACTTGAAGTGGTAGAGTTACTCAGATGCTGATACTAGGCAGTCTTATATGATATAGCACTAGCTGAAATTAGGGAAGAGTTTTTTTCAGCTCACTCTCATAACCCCACTGTTTTTAATGGCAATTATATATTTATGTATTTATTTATATAGAGAAGTAAACATGTGCACTGAGAAGTGTCCTTTTCTGATTAGTCGTGCAATAATCATTTTCATTTGAAATATATTTCTAGGTTGAGACTTTATTGGATACATTTTGGGTTACTGACTTTATTGGGGTTTACAGAGTTACGATTAAAACCCCTGTACAATTCTTTCAAAATGTACTTCAGTCTGTAAAATTTTACCTTCATGCTGAACTTTACACCAGTGTTTTTATTGGTTGAAAGATGGGAAGTTACAAAGGAGCAAAGCAGACAAATAGTGAACTGTAATTGTGTGTGATTTTTTTTTCTAGCACACAGCTTAGAAAAGGAGATGTAATGATTTTTAATATTGTTTTAGTACTGAGCTATTTTTATCTGATTTTAGGAACTAATTGTTTCTCATTGTTTTTAAACACAATGAAGTACAACGTGATGCTGTCAGATGCTAATTCCCAGCCTGTACCTGTTGTTTTTAGGGTGCTCGAGTAGGTAGAATAGATGCTTTCATCCAGAGCCTGGACAAAAATTTTATGGTTCCAGTAGGTGGAGCTATCATTGCTGGCTTCAATGATTCCTTCATAAAAGAGATCAGTAAAATGTATCCAGGTAAATCATTTACAAGTCAATTAATCTTTTCTAAATAAATATAAACAACTTGCAATTCAGTTTCCCTTCATATCTGAATATCTTTTTTATGAAGATAATCTGTATTTCTGTATATCGTTATTTTAGGAAGAGCATCAGCATCTCCTTCCTTAGATGTCTTTATTACTCTACTATCACTAGGTGCAAATGGCTACCGACAGCTACTAAAACAAAGAAAGGTAAGCTTTGTGGCATAGAGTACTTATTTTACATTGTAAATGTTATAATTAGTTTTTGACCTAACAACATTTCCAAATGAATACGAGTAATTTGCCTATTTACAGTATGTCGGAACCAGAAAATTAATTTCATGCTCTATACTGTATTATTGCACTTCAGGAACTGAATATGTGATTATTTTAAAATTGGCTTTTCAGTAGATCTTTGCAGTTGAAGATCTGAAGAATGCAAAATTCAGATGGATTTTTTTACTTTAAAAATATGTGAACATGGATCCATTTTGTCCAGGCCATTTGACTTATTCAGCAGTGCATATGGGAGCTTGTAGAAGACAGTTATGAAACAGTTTGAAAACAGATAATGGGACCATTAATGGTTAAGCTTTCAGTCAGATTATCAGAAGTACCAGCAGACTGGGCAAATGTAACCCTGTAGCTGTGATAGGGTTTTTGCGACCTGCCAGTTGTGATGACCTAATAAAGAAAGTTGTGAGGGTTTGCAAGGAATGTCTGTCTCTCTTTGTTGTTTAATTCTGTAGTGGGATGAAGTGTGATAAGTCTTGTTCATTACTATTTACACGTGCAAGATGGGTGTAGCAAATCAGTGTCAGTTGTATGTAGGCATTCTGTTCAAATATAATTTCTTCTGACATCAGTGACCATTAGACAGACAAGCATGCTGATACACAGTATAGCTAAGTATATGGAAAAATTATGGTAAGTTTGGCTACTGACAGATATGAAACTCCACCCCCCTGCTTTACCGAGTGAAGCAGCACATTAGTTTGACCTGCTTTGCAGCATCTGTGTAGATCAGGCACTTCAGTGGGGCTTTTTGGCGCTTTTATCTAATAGCTGATTCAATCGGCTATTAGATAAAAGGTCAAAAAAGCCCCACTAATACACTTGATCTATACAGATGTTGAGCAAACCAGGTAGAGCTAACATGATGCCTCTCCTTGGCATGCACTGGGTTTAGCACAGAGATGTGCAGAGTTTAAAGTAAAGCACCATTTTGGGGGGTTACATCTGTAAGCAGTCTTTGTGATTATTCAGAGAGTGAACATAATAAATATAGTTATTATTGGTATAACCTCTGTCACAATGTAGTCTAATTACTATATATATTACTTCTGTTAACATATATTCTTTCAATCTAAATGTCAGCATCAATTCTATATATATAAAAGCTTTAATCTGTCTGTTCATAATGCTTTATTTGCACTCTGATTAGCTGTCTGAGCAGCCAGTCAGAGCGCTCCAAGAGCATTGTAGGCAGCGGCGTGAAGGAGCACTGCCAAGATGATGGGAATGGAGGGAGAGGTAAAGGGGTCAGTAGAGGAGGCTGCGGTGGGGAATGGGATCGGCCCTGCCGTGGCGGGGGGGTGGGATCACCTGCAGCGGGTG